GCAGAGGCAACGGTCATCGGCTCGTCGAGGTTGGAGAAGGGGAGGGGGGATGGGCGGTCGGCGAGGGGGTCAAGCCGTTGACATTTTGGCTCATGCGCGTGCTCTCCCTTTTGCTCGCCCTCCCGTCGGCGGCCGGATTGGTTGGGCCGGAGCTGCTGAATCGGCTCGGGCCGGCGCGAGGGGTGGTGCCTGCGCCCTCCAGCCAGAAGGCGCGCCCACGTCGTCCAATGCCGCACCGAAAGGTGTGTTCCGACAAGCCGCAATGGGGCAACATGACCTGGTTTGAGCTCCCAATTTCGCAGCGAAAGGTGTGCATCGAGATTCAGCAACGGGACAAGTCCTTCAGGCCAACGCCAATCGCAATCGTTTCGCAGTTGGGGCGAAGTTCGGTCTTCCTCTTCGTCATCGATCGGCGGCGAGAGGCGGCGAGTGGTGACGCGAATTTCAACCGAAATCGCGCCACCCTTTGTGCACTTTGAGCAAGAGTCACTCCTCGTCTCTCGCAATGATGTTGTTGTGACGGTTGAATTTTTGCCGATTTCTGTACAAGCGTCCATTTTTGAATTGGTTTGGAAACCACCGAGGGGTACGATTCCACATAATTCATCCGACGGAAACGTGGCGATGGCACCTGATTCGGGGAGCAGTGGGGGGGGGGTGAGGATTTGGTTCTGAAGAAGGTGGGGGAGTACAGAGGGGGATGGGGTAGAGTCACCGTTTGAGCGAACGACGGCTGTGGCGCCGACGGCGGCACCCTTGTACGAGGCTGTGAGGGGAGCGGCGGCGAGAGGGGGGGCGGCGGCGACGCAGGCGAGCCGCACGCGCGCGCGACTGAGGGAAGCGCGGGCGGCGGGAAAAAGGAGAACGGCGGCGGCGGCGAGGCGCAAAACGGGGGCGGCGGAAGTGGGGGCGACGGCGGCGGCGGAGTGAACGGCGGCGCGCGCACGGACGGCGACGAAATCGACGGCGGGGAGGGGAGGGCTGCATGGCGGGCGCGCGCTCATATGTCTTGCTTTTGTCCACCTCCTCGGTGACCTGCGTGCGCGGGAACGGCAGGGGTCATGTCGCGCGCACCGGGCGGCGCCGTGCTCGCAGCAGCCGGGATCGCGGCAGAGAATGGTGGAGAGCTCTACCCGCGCACCTGCCCAGCGAGGAGCTCGACGCCGCTCCTGGCAGGCGAGGCAGGGATCTCGGCGACGTTGGAGAGCGGGCGCACGATGTCGTGGGCGACGCCCGTCCGCAGCCACGTCGTGGTGACGATGATGGCGAGGAGCATCACGGTGGAGAGGAGCGTCCCGGCGCTGCTTGGGCTCGCTCGAGTTTCCGGTCTAGGCATGGGCCTGGCTTTTTTTGTTGTATCAGGGCTTGAAGGTGAACCCCAGAATTCTTAGAATACAAGCCTCTCTCACAGCACACTGGCACGCACTTGGAGCACTTGGAGTGCAGTCAGTAGCCGCACATCCAGGGCCGGGGAGCTCAGAAGCGCACCCAGCGGGCCGGATGATCACGCTTCCAAGAATACTTCTCCAGTTGTTCTGTTTAAATACTTCTCCACCTCCCTGGCTTGCTTGGAAGCGTGTTCACCGTTGCGCGTATGGGGATGGAGGCCGCGGCGACGGCGAGGACGGTGGCGGCGACTGTGGCGGCGGCGGCGGTGGCGGTGGCGGTGGCGATGGTGGTGCCGGCGGTGGCGGTAGTCGTCGTCGTCACAAGACGCGCACCTGTGTCCACTGCGGAGGCGTTGCGCGCGCCGTCGGTGCACATGAGGCGCCTCACCCTACTTCTCTTCGCCATGGCCACGCTCGCAGCAGCTGCTCGCACACCTCCGCGCCATCGCCACGCTCTGTCGGATGCCGCCGCCACTCCGCCGCCGCTGCGAGGTGCCTATTTGCTGCTGCGAGGCGGCGCGGTGAGCGGCACCGACCCGACGGCGGCTACTTTGCTCCTCGTCGCGACGTGGTACGGTTCCTCGGTCTGCAGCAGCCTCCTTGCATACGAGCTGGTCGCCGCCGCTGGGCCGGATCTGATGACGCTCTGCCACTTTGCCGGCTCCGCCTGCTGCGGCGCCGCGGTGCTGCGGCTGGGAGGCCGCAGCGGCAGCATCGGCTTCGCGTCGCGGAGGCAGCTGGTCGACACTGCGGCGCTC